ATCGTATAACTTATGAAACCGCAAAGTATGCACTTGTATTAATGCTTAGTGGTATAAATGTAAATTGGAAGCAACCGATTGCATATTTTTTAGTGTCTAGTTCATGTACTGGTTATGACTTGCAAGATATTATTATTTCAACAATAATTAAAAATCCAAGTTCAAATTTTGTAGGTTTTAGTAATAATTTTCAAGTTTCTCCATCTCGGCCATATTTTAAAGTTAATAATAAAAAAAATAGTTTACATTTTTGATCCACCTCATCTTCTGAAAGCTACAAGGAATATGTTTTTCCAATATAAATTTAAATTAAATGAAGATTTAATAGAAAAAAAATATCTTGTGTCATTTTATAACCAAGACAGTACTTGTAATTTACGTTTAGCTCCAAAAATTAACATATCCAAATGCATTTCAAAAGATGAGGGTTTACTTAGCTGCTCAAACTTTTAGTGCAACTGTTGCAGCAGGCATGGAAACCTATTTAGCATTAAATAAATTACCAATTTCTTCAAAACAAACCATTAATTTTTTTAAAGATATGGATAAATTGTTTGATATTTTTAATTCATATAAAAGACCTATTTTAAAAGATTTTAATAGACCATTCAAAAATACTCAGTCTCAAAATTCACATTTATTATTCATGGAACAATTCTTTTACAAACTTAAAAGTTTTTGATAAAAATAACAAAGATGTAACTAATCGAATGAAATTTATTAAAGGCTGGTTAGTTTCCATTGCTGGTTTAAATTTACTGTGGACAATATTAAAACGTGAAAGTCCTAGTCACAACTATGTTCTATACACTCATAGATTAAACCAAGATAGAATTGAAAACCTTTTTGGTACATTTCGCAACCAAAATGGTAATAATATGAATCCCACTCCAGTACAATTTTATTATGCTTTTAAAAAAATATTTTGCTTAAATTACTTTCAACATTCTGAAAATTCCAATTGCATTCAAGATTTTGATGATATATTATCTGAAATTCCAGATCCCTCCAATAAAGAAATTCAAAATATAATGTTTCCTGAAAAATCTCCTTTTTTAAATTTAAAACGCCACTTACTATTGGATCTTAAGATTATAGGGATTTAAGACTACCAGATCAAAATTCATTAACATATGTTTGTGGCTATTTAATGAAAAAGTGTTTAGAAAAACATAGTTGTGATGTTTGTATAAATTATACTAAATTTCAACAAGACTTAGACCTATCATTTTTGTTTTCTCATTTTAAAGCATATACTAATAAACAAAATTCAACTTATGGCAATTTAATGATGCCACATCATGATTTTTATAACTATATTATATATAACAGTGGTTGTCAACCTTTTTGGGTCCACGGCTCCTTTTGATTTTGAAATAAAATATACGGCTCCCATACGAACATTTAAAATAAACAAATTTACATTACTTATAATAATTTTAATCTAACTTTATTTAATGATAAACATGTAATTAGGTATTAATAATAGGAAACATTTTTTTACATACAATTAAAAAATTACCTAATACATTAATAATAATCGAAATATGCTATTACTCGATATCGCAAACACGGTTATCGACGGTTATCTCACACATGCAACATGTAATATGTATTGGTGTGCCGAAATTTTATTTTTAGTTTCTATTGCGAACGCGGCTCCCTTGATAATAACCGGCGACGCCCCTGGGAGCCGCGACGCACAGGTTGAAAACCCCTGATATATAACTTAGAATCTGTTTTTATTCATCGTTTTCCAATACTTGCTCCAGAAATTGAAGTAGGTAAAAAATTAAAATTAAAAGTATGTTTAGCACAATTTATAATCACCCTTGTGAAAGTTTTGAAAAAGATTATCTTCTTAATTTGTTTGTTCGATTCAGAATTTTATCTACAATTAAATTTCTAAATAAGGATTTTTTTTCAGAAAAATCTTTAAAAAAAGAAAACTAGCTACTTTACAACATTTATAATTCATTGCTTAAATTAATTTATAAGTCACTACCATAGCATAACTTCAATATTGTACCTACATAATTTCTGACATATATTTACTTCTGACAGGCTAACAATAACAGGCTATGGCAACAACGGTATAGATAGTCTCTAGAGCGTTGGGCTGTGAACCAGCTCTGGAGCTTCAATTAGCTGCCACCAAAGCGTCAGGCTGTAGATCTATTTTGGAGCCACAAGAAAACGTCTCCAGAGAGTTGGACTGTGGACCGGTTTTGGAGCTACAAGTAGCCACCTATTTTTTAATACTTTCAGGTGTATCACCTATAATCTTGTTTATTATTACTACTAACATTATACCTAATAAACGAGCTAACACTCCTACCACGGACCAAAATTTGTTTTTATTTTTAATATAATATATTTCCTCCTTGTCTTTGTGATATAACACATACTTTTAAATTGTGTGACAGAGTCACTACTTCTTGACGTGTAAAAAATAGTATTCTGGAATAATAATACAAAAATATATTTTTTAAATATTTACAATACACCTCTCAAAAAATATTTAAGAAGTATTTGAAAGCAAGTATTTATATACTTAACAAGATCATCTCTAATATAGTTTAAAAAATATATAAGTAGATACAATAAACATTGGCATAAAGATTACAACAAACTAATCCATATATTAAATTAAAGTTACACACACTGACACACTTTTAGATGAATTTTGGAATTCTAATAGCGTTGACGATCATTCCTTACAATATACATAATATTATTTAATACAATAATTAAAAATTATGGTAAAGTATGTTGTACATTATTTTATTTTCCTTATGTAGCCCTACTGATTTGAGGTAGGTTCGTGTCATCAGTAAATCGAAGAAGTGCACCATCTGGTTTTTTTATTTATTTATTTATTTATTGAAATACGGGACGTGCCCAATTACATAGAATGTACATAAAGTAAGGAAAGTTACATAAATTACAAAAATACAAATATACAATTAGGATATAGAGCAAATAGACATAATAACATAATAACTAAGAGAACGTTGCATAAATTACAAAATACAATTAAAATAATAAAAAAAAATAGAACAACAGATAATAATTTATTGCTAAGCATTCAGGAATAGTGGGTCTTCATTCGCTAGTTTCATCATACGAACAATAGGACGATTTACTAAATAGTTACAGCGGCTAACAGGAATTTGGAAAGGGAAGGAGCATCTGGAGTAAAAACTTGGAACTCTGAAATTAAGTTTATATAGGAGGGCAGGGGAATCCACTTCACCATTTATTAGTTTAGTAAGGAACGTAAGATTAGCCTGTTTCCTCCTGTCACATAGGGTAGACAAATGGAGGCACTGTAATACAGGTTGATAATCATGGGGTTGACATTCAATACTTAATGCAAAAGCGGCAAATTTCAAAAATTTAAGTTGAACTTTTTCTAGTTGTTTACTACCATCAAGTGTGCACGGATCCCAAATAATTACTCCATACTCCAACACAGACCGAACAAAAGAGCAATATAACGTCTTAAGAGAGCTGGACAGTTTAAATTCAGCCGAAATTCTTTTCACAAACCCGAGAAGTTTCAGGGCCTTACAGGTAACTTTCTCAATATGTGTACGAAAAGTAAGCGACCGATCAAAAGTAATACCAAGGTCAATAACACTGTCACCTGGTTGCTTTAGCGCAATGTCATTTATAGTGTAAGTAAACAAGACACGCTCATTGGAACGCGTGTAGGTCATTTAGGAATACTAAGCTCTAAGCCAAGTCCCTGGGCCCAATGAGCAACAGAATCTAGATCATGTTGTAAGAGTTTATAATCATCAGTTGTACAAATACGGAGAAAGAGTTTTATATCATCAGCAAAAAACAGAAGTTCGCTGTGCTGTATCACATCTTTGATGCCATTAACAAAGAGTGCAAATAGAACGAGAGATAGATGTCCACCTTGGGGTACACCAGAGGTAATACTAGTTGGGCTGGAACAGAAGCCATTTATCTTGACAACCTGTCTCCTCTCAGACAAATAGGGACTGAACCAAGATAATAGAGGCTCACCAAACCCAAGATTACACAGAACGTTCATTAAAGCACGATGGTCCACGCGGTCAAAGGCCTTCGCGAAGTTGGACAAGTTTTATATAATATGGGGTATTATCAACAAATCTAGGATAGAGGATGGACCACCGCCTGCTATTAAAATGAACAGCTTAGAATTCGGTGAAATTACCATCAAAAACCCAAAAACCAAGTGTATTATCAACAAATCTAGGATAGAGGATGGACCACCGCCTGCTATTAAAATGAACAGCTCAGAATTCGGTGAAATTGATGGTGAACAAAAACCCGAAAACCAAAAGTGTATTATCAACAAATCTAGGATAGAGGATGGACAACCGCCTGATATTAAAATGCACAGCTGTTGGCAACACTGGGACCTGATGCCACTGTAGGGAGGGCATAGTTGTCCTAGTGTCTTAGTCTAGTCTGTTGCGGCCTATTCCTCAGGTCTGCTGTGTGCGGCTAATGTTAATGCTGTTTTACGTTTGTTGTTTAAGTTGTTTCATTAAAGGTTACCTAGTGCATAACTATAAAGTTGTATTAGTTTATTTATCTTATCCTGACATCATATCTTTTTCGTTAATAATAGTGTAGATATTAATCGCTAACATCTCAGAAGTGGGATAATTCCGTTGTTTCCACCGTGTTCGAAGGTGTACTCCGGAAAATCGTGCCCGTCAAAGTTGTTTTGTTTTCTTTGGGGTTGTCAGAATCCACCATTTGGTTTTTGGTCGTAAAGTAGAAGCGATTGTGAATTTCCCTGTACCCAATGATGCACACGAAATACGACGCTTCCTTGGTCTGTCTGGTTACTTCAGAAGATTTATTGTGAACTACGCTACAATGGCGGAACCGTTGACGCGACTGACGGGTAAGGATGTGCCGTACCAGTGGGGGCCAAGTCAGGTAACTGCCTTTGAAAATCTGAAGAAAGTACTGAGTTCAGACCAGTAGTACGTATGTATGACCCGTCTGCAGCGATCACAGAGGTACATACGGATGCTAGCAGTAAAGCACTTTCGGGAATACTGCTACAAGGAACCAAGACCGCTGATCTGCACATGGTGTATGCTGTCAGCAAGAAGACGACTGATGCTGAGTCACGGTACCACTCGTCTCGATTGGAATTATACGCAATCATCTGGACGATAAGTTGGTTGCGCCCGTACCTGATAGGTACACGTTTTACTGTGGTGACAGACTGCCAAGCTTTGACATATTTGAACCTCCACAAATCAACAAAACCACAAATAGCACGATGGTATGAAGTCCTACAAGAATATGACTTTGATATAAAGTACCGTCCAGGATCAAAAATGGCACACGTAGATGCACTTAGTCGTGCGGTCGCCGACGACGATACAGTGACGGAATCAGTTGATGCTGAACTCGCTCAACGTGCATGTGTTTTCGTCGCCATGTCGGTTCATGACAGAGTCAGGTTCATGCAGCAAGGCGACCCGGTGACCAGAGAACAAATACATCAGCTTGAGCAAATAGGACCAAAAACAAAACAGGTATCAGGTGACTTAAAACATTATGAAGTAATTAATGGTATGCTCCACCGCGGGTATGATGGACGACTACTACTAGTGATTCCAAAGCCAATGCGCAAAGGAATCGTCATAGCTGCACAAGACTACGGAGGGCATTTTGCACTGGATCGGACGGTGGCAAAAATCAGTAAGGACTTTTGGTTCTCCCAATTACGCCGTTATGTACGTCAACACATCAGAATGTGTTTGGAATGTTTGACGCATAAGAAACCTTCCGGAAAACAGCAGGGCATGCTACACCCAATACCGCCCGGAAAGAGACCTTTCCAGGTCATCAATGTGGATCATCTCGGTCCCTTTGAGACATCTACACAAAAAAATCGGTATCTACTTGTAATAGTTGATAGTCTCACTAAGTATGTACACTTGTATCCATGTAAGACTACTGATACTTAGTCACTAGTGCGGATCATGACCAAATTTATTGAAACCAGAGGTATACCAGACCGGATTATTTCAGATCGGGGGTCCTGCTTTACCTCACGACCATTTGAGCAGTTCTGTGCAGTACACAACATAGAACACATACTCAATTCCACCAGGCACCCACAAGCAAACGGGCAAGTGGAACGTGCTAACCGAACCATAGTTACGCTGCTCAGTATGTCCACAGAAGACCAACGGCGTTGGGACGCTAAGGTAAACGAGGTTGAACGCATGCTGAACTCAGCAGAGAATAAAACCACAAAGAAGACGCCATTTGCAGCCTTACACGGTTATCAACCACGTTTCCACCAAGGGATACTAGGCTCATTATCCCAGAACAAGAATGACTGGAGGGAACCAACGGAGGTGCAAGGCGAAGCAAGCGACAATATACGGGAGGGACAAAAAGCAATGGTTCAAGTATTTAACCGCAAACACATTCCAGGTGTTAGCCTGGACTTGGGCGAAATGGTAGTGATGCTGAAGGCACCAACCACAGGACAGCCTACCAAACTGCAAGCAAAATACAGAGAAAAGCCATTACAAGTCATACAAAAGTTACCAGGAGATACGTATCGAGTGGCCGAGGTAACTCCTGAAGGCCAAACCTCATATGCTACCACAGCACATATTTCACAACTCAAATCCTGGAAGATCCTTGATCAAGAAGATGAGACAGATGAACTCAGCGTTCCAGACAGCTTCGAGGGGACTCCTACTGGTGATGGTGAAGCAGGGGAGAGACCAACCATCGATGACCAAGAAGGAAGTAAGATACCAGAACCAATAACACCAGCAACAGAGAATCCAGTTGTGGTTAGGGGCCAGCGGGAGAGAAAGGCACCGGGGTACTTGAGAGATTATGTGGCTAAGTAAAATGTTAACACTACTGAGTTAACACTAGACAGTTTTGTAGTCTGACTGACAGCTTCTATTTGTATTAATTATTCTTTTTTTTGTGTGTTGTTTTGTGTAAATTTTAAACATTAGCATTGTTAAAATTATTTTGTATAAATTTTAAAGGCTAGCTTTGTCAGAATTGTTTTATATAAATTTAAACATTAATGCAGTTATAGAATTGTATTGTAACTTAAGGCCCGAGGGCGCCCCTTACATCAGGAAGGCCGAATGTTGGCAACACTGGGACCTGATGCCACTGTAGGGAGGGCATAGTTGTCCTAGTGTCTTAGTCTAGTCTGTTGCGGCCTATTCCTCAGGTCTGCTGTGTGCGGCTAATGTTAATGCTGTTTTACGTTTGTTGTTTAAGTTGTTTCATTAAAGGTTACCTAGTGCATAACTATAAAGTTGTATTAGTTTATTTATCTTATCCTGAAATTATATCTTTTTCGTTAATAATAGGGTAGATATTAATCGCTAACACTAATACTGTTGGCTACCCTGTTTTTTGTAAAGGGCTTGACCATTCTGCTATTAAAATGAACAGCTCAGAATTTGGTGAAATTGATGGTGAACAAAAACCTGAAAACCAAAAGTGTATTATCAACAAATCTAGGATAGAGGATGGACCACCGTCTGCTATTAAAATTAACAGCTTAGAATTCGGTGAAAGTAGTTGTAAACTGGCAATTAAACAGGAAATGTTTGAAAATGGACAACCTTGGGAAATGCCAATAATTCATTTGAAGACGAAATGAGTATTAACTACAGTACATTTGATTCAGACGACCGTCATCAGCCAACTAATACTGTTGGCTACCCTGTTTTTTGTAAAGGGCTTGACCATTCTGCTATTAAAATGAACAGCTCAGAATTTGGTGAAATTGATGGTGAACAAAAACCTGAAAACCAAAAGTGTATTATCAACAAATCTAGGATAGAGGATGGACCACCGTCTGCTATTAAAATGAACAGCTTAGAATTCGGTGAAAGTAGTTGTAAACTGGCAATTAAACAGGAAATGTTTGAAAATGGACAACCTTGGGAAATGCCAATAATTCATTTGAAGACGAAATGAGTATTAACTACAGTACATTTGATTCAGACGACCGTCATCAGCCAACTAATACTGTTGGCTACCCTGTTTTTTGTAAAGGGCTTGACCATTCTGCTATTAAAATGAACAGCTCAGAATTTGGTGAAATTGATGGTGAACAAAAACCTGAAAACCAAAAGTGTATTATCAACAAATCTAGGATAGAGGATGGACCACCGTCTGCTATTAAAATTAACAGCTTAGAATTCGGTGAAAGTAGTTGTAAACTGGCAATTAAACAGGAAATGTTTGAAAATGGACAACCTTGGGAAATGCCAATAATTCATTTGAAGACGAAATGAGTATTAACTACAGTACATTTGATTCAGACGACCGTCATCAGCCAACTAATACTGTTGGCTACCCTGTTTTTTGTAAAGGGCTTGACCATTCTGCTATTAAAATGAACAGCTCAGAATTTGGTGAAATTGATGGTGAACAAAAACCTGAAAACCAAAAGTGTATTATCAACAAATCTAGGATAGAGGATGGACCACCGTCTGCTATTAAAATGAACAGCTTAGAATTCGGTGAAAGTAGTTGTAAACTGGCAATTAAACAGGAAATGTTTGAAAATGGACAACCTTGGGAAATGCCAATAATTCATTTGAAGACGAAATGAGTATTAACTACAGTACATTTGATTCAGACGACCGTCATCAGCCAACTAATACTGTTGGCTACCCTGTTTTTTGTAAAGGGCTTGACCATTCTGCTATTAAAATGAACAGCTCAGAATTTGGTGAAATTGATGGTGAACAAAAACCTGAAAACCAAAAGTGTATTATCAACAAATCTAGGATAGAGGATGGACCACCGTCTGCTATTAAAATTAACAGCTTAGAATTCGGTGAAAGTAGTTGTAAACTGGCAATTAAACAGGAAATGTTTGAAAATGGACAACCTTGGGAAATGCCAATAATTCATTTGAAGACGAAATGAGTATTAACTACAGTACATTTGATTCAGACGACCGTCATCAGCCAACTAATACTGTTGGCTACCCTGTTTTTTGTAAAGGGCTTGACCATTCTGCTATTAAAATGAACAGCTCAGAATTTGGTGAAATTGATGGTGAACAAAAACCTGAAAACCAAAAGTGTATTATCAACAAATCTAGGATAGAGGATGGACCACCGTCTGCTATTAAAATTAACAGCTTAGAATTCGGTGAAAGTAGTTGTAAACTGGCAATTAAACAGGAAATGTTTGAAAATGGACAACCTTGGGAAATGCCAATAATTCATTTGAAGACGAAATGAGTATTAACTACAGTACATTTGATTCAGACGACCGTCATCAGCCAACTAATACTGTTGGCTACCCTGTTTTTTGTAAAGGGCTTGACCATTCTGCTATTAAAATGAACAGCTCAGAATTTGGTGAAATTGATGGTGAACAAAAACCTGAAAACCAAAAGTGTATTATCAACAAATCTAGGATAGAGGATGGACCACCGTCTGCTATTAAAATTAACAGCTTAGAATTCGGTGAAAGTAGTTGTAAACTGGCAATTAAACAGGAAATGTTTGAAAATGGACAACCTTGGGAAATGCCAATAATTCATTTGAAGACGAAATGAGTATTAACTACAGTACATTTGATTCAGACGACCGTCATCAGCCAACTAATACTGTTGGCTACCCTGTTTTTTGTAAAGGGCTTGACCATTCTGCTATTAAAATGAACAGCTCAGAATTTGGTGAAATTGATGGTGAACAAAAACCTGAAAACCAAAAGTGTATTATCAACAAATCTAGGATAGAGGATGGACCACCGTCTACTATTAAAATGAACAGCTTAGAATTCGGTGAAAGTAGTTGTAAACTGGCAATTAAACAGGAAATGTTTGAAAATGGACAACCTTGGGAAATGCCAATAATTCATTTGAAGACGAAATGAGTATTAACTACAGTACATTTGATTCAGACGACCGTCATCAGCCAACTAATACTGTTGGCTACCCTGTTTTTTGTAAAGGGCTTGACCATTCTGCTATTAAAATGAACAGCTCAGAATTTGGTGAAATTGATGGTGAACAAAAACCTGAAAACCAAAAGTGTATTATCAACAAATCTAGGATAGAGGATGGACCACCGTCTGCTATTAAAATTAACAGCTTAGAATTCGGTGAAAGTAGTTGTAAACTGGCAATTAAACAGGAAATGTTTGAAAATGGACAACCTTGGGAAATGCCAATAATTCATTTGAAGACGAAATGAGTATTAACTACAGTACATTTGATTCAGACGACCGTCATCAGCCAACTAATACTGTTGGCTACCCTGTTTTTTGTAAAGGGCTTGACCATTCTGCTATTAAAATGAACAGCTCAGAATTTGGTGAAATTGATGGTGAACAAAAACCTGAAAACCAAAAGTGTATTATCAACAAATCTAGGATAGAGGATGGACCACCGTCTGCTATTAAAATGAACAGCTTAGAATTCGGTGAAAGTAGTTGTAAACTGGCAATTAAACAGGAAATGTTTGAAAATGGACAACCTTGGGAAATGCCAATAATTCATTTGAAGACGAAATGAGTATTAACTACAGTACATTTGATTCAGACGACCGTCATCAGCCAACTAATACTGTTGGCTACCCTGTTTTTTGTAAAGGGCTTGACCATTCTGCTATTAAAATGAACAGCTCAGAATTTGGTGAAATTGATGGTGAACAAAAACCTGAAAACCAAAAGTGTATTATCAACAAATCTAGGATAGAGGATGGACCACCGTCTGCTATTAAAATGAACAGCTTAGAATTCGGTGAAAGTAGTTGTAAACTGGCAATTAAACAGGAAATGTTTGAAAATGGACAACCTTGGGAAATGCCAATAATTCATTTGAAGACAAAATGAGTATTAACTACAGTACATTTGATTCAGACGACCGTCATCAGCCAACTAATACTGTTGGCTACCCTGTTTTTTGTAAAGGGCTTGACCATTCAGTCATGGTTACAGTCAGTCGCAGAGTACCGGTTGTGGGCTCTGTTCGTATATTGTGTGTTGTTCGTTTATGCATTTAATAAAACTATTTTAATAAGTATAATTCGTTTGTCTTCGTCTTAACCTTTTAGTAACAATACTGATGAGAGACATACAGATGAAATGTGGTTGGGTACCTTTGAAACATTTGAAAGTACTGTTAATAGTAGAAAACGTTACCAAAATCAAGACGAGGGTTTGGACGACAGTGAAACATATTTTTTGAAGAAAATTAAAATTAAAGATACTGGTAATGATTGGTTTGATGAGATGTGGACATATCATCTTGAATATAACTCTTCAAATTTCGGAGAATGGGTAAACATATTATGTATGGTCGATGAAAACAATTCTCTCTCCACACCCCCCCTTTTTTTTTAATGGATACAGCTGATCTGCTGTTCCCGGTGAGCACACTTCAATTATTATTAAGGTGTCAAAGGAAAGGGAATAAACAAAAAAAAGAAAAACATTATACTGATCGGTAGGCAGCAGTACCAGTTTCACTACAGGTCTGACCAAGGAACCACCTTTCGTTAGAACCCGAGCAACTCTAACCAGCCCATCCTTACTAGGTATCGCCTCAAACGCCACAGAAGCGTAGGTGCAGTGCCATCTTTTATGACCACCATGTCTCCTACCTTCATATTTACTTGGCTTGACAACCAGCGACTCCTAGCTTGCAGAGTATTCAGGTATTCTGACGACCATCCAAAACGTCTGAAACGTTTGCTGAAGGAGCTTCCAACGTTGTTGTAGATTCACTGGCTTCCCACTGAGTTCCTCCTCAGGAACTGACATCAATGGTTGACCAATCAAAAAATGGCCTGGGGTCAAACAGTCCAAGTCCTCCGGATCTGGGGTCACAGGAGTTAACGGTCTGGAGTTCAGCGCAGCTTCAAAACGACATAGGATTGTAGAAAACTCTTCCAAAGTCCAAGTCTGTGCCCCCAACGACCTTGTCAGCAATGATTTGGTAGACTTTACCGCAGCCTCCCTAAGTCCTCCAAAGTGGGGTGCACTAGGCGGGTTAAAGTTCCAGTGACACATCAGACGACTGGAACATTGATCCCTACTCGAGGGCGAGTTGATCAACTCTTTCAGCTTGCGAGCAGTCCCAACAAAGTTTGTCCCACAACCCGAGTGGATGGATGTTGGCACACCTCGCCGGGCAACAAATCTGTCAAGTGCCGCTAAGAAGGCATTAGTTGATAGGTCAAGTACAAATTCTGAATTCAAGATGAATAGCCTTTGTACTCATACAAACAAATAAGGCTATGTAAACCTTGTATTCGCAAGCTTTTCATAACTTTGTTTCTCTCATTGATAATGGTCCCGCGTAGTCAATTCCCACTGCTGTGAATGCTCGACAGGCTTGTACTCTTGATACAGGCAGATCAGTCATTTTTGGTTGAGGATTCACTGCATCCAACTTTACACAAGTAATGCAGGACTTGATAGCCTTATAGGCCACCCGGCGTACACCCATGATCCAGAAACGACTATTGATTAAAGTGATAAGGAGTCTTGATCGGGCATGACATGCACTTAAGTGCCAATGGCGTGCAATCAACGCGGATAGATGCGATTCTTTAGGCAATAGTATTGGGTGCTTGTGATCCCATGAGCACATGGCATTCTGCAGCCGACCGCCCCTTCGAAAAACACCAAATTCATCGATAAAGGGGCTAAGTTTAGCATACACCCTTGAAGAGACCGAGCTGCCACTTGACAATTCCCGAAGTAGAGAACTCAACATGCATTCCTGGGTGCATTTGACTGCCACGTACAAGGCCTCATATAGCTCTGAACGTGTCAAATGACCAGAAACAGTTTCTTGCCGTCTACATCTTCCAATGAAGCAACCCAGTCGTGCTATTACACGAATCATGATGCTGTATGATGAAAACCGCGTAAACCACTCTCCTTTCCTTATTGTGTCGTTATCACACAGCACAGGGTCTCGAGATAGTTTGCGCTCCAATTGTAACAGACGATTAACTGTAATTTGTCGCATTCCAGGAAAAGAACTAGGTTGACCATCACGGAACGGCAATGGGACCATGTACTGTTCTTTACTATTCTTGTACATCTCTGACAGAAAGATTTCTTCACACTGACCCTCTTGAGTGAACACGGGCGGAGTAGCTTACGGTTCCTCAATGTTCCAGAATCTTTCCATTAAAGATTCGACTGATGAGGATATCTGAACAGGTAGGGCCCTAGGATTGGAGCCTTTAAGTTTTGAAGTGGACCTACTATTGCCCAACCGAAAATGGAATTGAACGCAGTTGGATATCCATGACCTAACGAGACAGTTTCGTGAGACCAGACCATAGGGTATATGTCTGCACCCAACAAAATTTCGACCCGAGCCGGGACATCAAATAGCGGATCAGCTAATGACAAATTTCCACATCTTTCCCAAACAGATGATGATAGTTTTGAGGTGGGCATATCTGAAGTTATGGAAGATAGTACCCAACTCTTACAGGCATTGAAGATTGACTTGAATCCCGAGGTTGGATAATATGTAGATCTACGATACCCAAAACGCTTGGCACAGGTAATTCTGATAACCCGGTAAATGGTAATGTCCATTTTGCCGCTCGTAGACCTAGTCGTTGACAACAATGTGCAGATATGGCACTGATCTGTGAGCCGCCATCAATCAAGGCCCGAACCATCTGTGGACTTTCAGCCACATCTTGCACATGAAGTAGTGCAGTTGCTAGTACTACAGATGGCAGTTGATTTTGATGGCTGACAAACATAGCCACTTTAGGAACCTTGGACGATGGATCAGAAGTAGAAAGGTCCTTATGCAATAGCCCATGATGACGACGTTTGCACACACTACAGGATGACTTGCATTTATATGACATATGACCACTTTCAAAGCATACCAAGCATAGTCTGTGAGAGCACACAATTTGGTATCGATCATGCTCCCAAAAATTTTGCACAGTCTTTCAATGCATGAGCTCCCCCACAGCACCGACACCTGTCGGATTCAGTAGCTTTAGGTTTCTGGGTCTTTACAGATGAAACTAACGCTGTCTGGCTGGTCAAGGGGCGATTGTAATGCTTCACTGGACCTGGATTAGGTTTCTTGTTGCTACCACCAAACTATTTCCCTGGTCCTGAAGTACCACCAGCATTTTCCAGCACTCTCACCCTATTCTTTACAAATTCCAGCACACTGTCCACTGATGGGTACTCTGAAGAATTATCTGATTCAAACAAGCGACGCGTATGAGTTGGAAGGGATTTTGAAGCAATGGTAAACAGCAGGAACGAACGCAGGTCTGGCAAGTGCAACGATTCCAATATTGCTAGTCCTTCATCAAATACACTCAAAAAACGTTTGAGATCCACCAGTGATTCTGAAGTGGATACGGGTGCAACCAAAAAACCCTCAATGATTGAGGGGGCCAGTTTTCTTGGTTTATCGTATGACTTTACTAATGTGTTCCAAGCCAACTGGAAGGTGTCTTTGGTCACTGGAATCCCTTTTAGTACTTCACCCGCATTAGCTTGAAGGCACCCAAGTAAATAGTAAAATCTGGTGCTGTCTGAATCAATGTCCGTGTTGCGGATTACAAGATCAACAAAGCGGTCCCGGAAGTCTGGCTACGAACGGAGATCAGCGTCGAATTTTGGCAGAGGGATTTCCCGCATAGATACTTGAGGACGGAAGGAGGCATCTGAAGACGGAGAACCACTCACACGAGATGACGACTGTGTTTCCATGACGGAGACTGTCTTTGGAAGCATAGCTGCGTTACTAGTTAGTGTAATCGACTGATGATCTTCAGCTGGATTTGCAATTAATGAAGTATCACTGATCTGTGTAACTGGTCGAGTCTTAAGATGACTTTGAGGCTTCCTGCTCATAATTATTGACGATTGATTTGATTTCTATCACCAAGGCGTAGACAGCAGCATCAGCTTCTGGAGAAAATTGATCTGGTCCTGAACTGCTGTCATAACTAGACTCCTTGCTGTTGGATCATTTCCTGCTGCTGTTGCTGAGGCATGTAGGCGACGAATATGACTTGCAGCGAGGTCTCGCTTAGCTGTAGCATGCTGTTTCAGTCTTATGTTGCGAGTCTTGATCTCTTCGTCTGACATGGTGGCAAAAGATAACAACTGCACACACCTACAGGGAGCATAAAGTAACACAAATTAATTTAGAACTAATATAACTGGTATGCTAGAGATAACAGTCCAATGTGATTGCACATATATCAGCAACTCCAATCCCAACCAATTATTTATCTACCGTCAAACCTGATCAGTACTTAATCAACATAAATTTAAAGAATACCAATTCAACCTACTGGCAACCACAATAGAATAGTAGATAATATAATAATAATAATAATCAACTAATAGAACAAGAGATCATGTAAGGTTCACATAAACATAACAAATTACTACTAATAAACAATAAAATAATGTGGTAGCCACCTACAATAGCACTGGGTAGTAATAATGCCAATAGTAATAACAAGGAAATTTTAACCAGTTTAAATTTAACAAAACATAATAACCTTGTTAGGTCAACAATAAAATGTGTGATCCAAATAAAAATATTAAGTTAATAACACTAATATAATAGGTATAAATAACAAATCCTAGTTATTAACGTTAAGGGGTATGAATAGTATTGAAAAAATGTATAAAAATGTACTTTTGTATTTCCAATAATATGGTTTATTAAGTGGTTTGAGAGTAAAAACACCTATTATCAATATTGTAGAAGAGAAGTTAATCTGTGCCTGTATAGAAGTCAAATTTTAATATTTGTAATTACTAAACTCAATAATTCAAATTCAAAAAGTAAAATATCATAAGTTTTAGAGTTAAATATTGGACATTGAAAATAAAATATCGAAAATCGACTCCTATACAAGCCTAGATAAACTCCTTCTCTTCAATTTGTATAATAGATGTTCATACTGTTATGTCACTCAGTAAGCTATATTATTGGAAATACGAAACTAAGTTTCAGTGGTTCACTAAAATTCACATTTGTAATTAGAGTGTAAAATGTTCCGTTAATGACATGTGCGTGCACGTGCGGGTGTGCTCCACTATTTATTTTACACACAGTCACTCACACTAATAATCACTTACTACGCACACATTTACACGACCCGCATGCACACAATTAGAAAATTGCCTATACCGAACTCCTTAGAAACGGTCGGTATGCATACCCCTTAAGAGAAAACCTACTAAGGTACTAAACTAACAATACTGAGGTATTAAATATTTAAACTGATCAGTCTTTAATATATTAATCAATTAAATGCAACCGCCTAATAATTAACAGGTGCCTAATAGTTATAAGAATACATATAACTGTTGACGCTTCAACCACAGTAGGTACTAACGCCAATGGCATAATAAGCGTTGACAATTATTTAACCACCAATTATAGTAGTTATAGTATTCCACGTTCAATAACGTTATAAGATGCCACGTCCGTGTATCAACGGACTGCTGACACTAAATGCTACTGTTACCCACCGATAGTCATAATCATAACACTACAATGGGTGGGAGTAACACCTTAATATAATAAAGAGAGGTAAGCTCACCAAGTAACAGCCAGAATAGAAGATCCTTATTCAACCACGCCCTGCTACCAAATGTTGGCCACGTGCGCACTTCTACCAAGTTAACGCCGGCAGCCTCACCTAATCTGACGATTCCCAGGTGAACACAACAAGTTTCTAAAATAAATAGACCTTTAATTCTATTGCTATAATATTGATTTATATTATGGTGACACAATGTAAAATAATTAATGACAAGGGGGTACAATCATTCTACCATTCCGGAGCTGGCTGGTGTCTGCTGAGCTGCTGTATGGCTGATCTGCCGTCGGGGTAGCTGAGCTGCTGTGGCTGATCTGCCGTGTCCGGCTTCTGGGTGCGAGACGGATGCGACCAAAATCGGCAAAGACTCACCTCGTTTTAGTATAAAACGTGGTTTCCCTTGTTCACACTTATACACGGGATGAACTCTTCATACCGGGACTCACAACAACTGCACAACAAACCCAGGTCGGAAGGAAAAACTTAAAACAGTAATGATGGCGACGCCGCGACGGACGGCGCCGTCGGCAGGCACGGAGCCAGTTGCCAGTGGAGCGTCGCCGGCCGCACATCAACGGCCGAACGGGCAGCCGACTAGTCTCGTCAGCTGTTAGCAGTGCTGGCAACCTTACGGGCCAAAGTGGCGCGTAGTAACGAACAATTTCAAATGTCGATGGTGCTCGAACAATACCTAACACTATTCCCTGTCGATACGTATCGAATTTTAGATTCTGAATGAAACGATGAATGAATTGATTTTACAATGATGTGTGTTTTTTATTTATTTTTTTTGTGTCTGTGTACACGATAAGTAGTCGAGATAATGCTTTGATGTTCAACTTCAGTATCTTGTTCGATTGGAAAGTGAATATCGTTGATGCATTGGGGAGGTCAAAATTTAAAATTCCCAGTACTTTTCAAAAGCGCCAAGAAAAACAAAAGAAAAATTAAGGAAAAACGGGAATTTTTACGCAAAATTGATTTTTCAGAAAATTGAATTTGGTTTTTACTATAACTTTAAAACAAATGACCGTAGATACATGAAATTTTCAGTGGTTGTTTATATTTGCATTTTCTATACACGATAACATTTTCAAAATATTTTGATTTATTTTGAACTGTTTAGAGACATTTTCATTTTTCATTTTTTTTTAGTTTTTTTTCTAGAAATATCAATTAAATTTTATTTGTTGGTTAAAAAAACTTGAAAATTTAATAGAAGGCTCCTAGTATATGGTTTGAAAGGCAGATGAAAAATATTAAAAATCGTTAGTCACAGTTTTTTTTTATAAGCATTTAAAGTTCAAAAATTGACAAAATATGGAAAAATCACGAAAATTAGCAAATTATTTTGAGTTAAGAATTCGTAAAAATTTTTCTTTTTAAATCTAAGATATAAAAATGTAATACAAGGTTCCTTATAAGATTGTCTACATTTATCAATAAAAAAATTTCTACCGGAAAGTCAAATTAAATTTTTATGAGCGTTTGAAATTCAAATTTTTACAACATTGGATATCCACTCGATTTCTCATGTGGCGATTTACTTTTTTTGTTGTAATTCAAAAACAAATTACTGTAGATACATGAAAATTTCACTGAATGTTTATATTATCATTTCCTATACACCATACAATTTTGAAAATATTTTGACTCTTTTTGAGCCGTTTACGGACATTTTCAGTTTTCAATTTTTTAGTTTTTTTTTTCTATAAATATCAATAAAGTTTTATCTGTTGGGCCAAAAAGTGTAAAAAATTAATACAAGGCTCCTGATATATTGTTACAATAGCAATTTAAAAATATTAAAAATACATAGGCACAATTTTTTTTTATAAGCATTTAAAGATCGCATTTTAACAAAATTTATCAAAATTTCGAAAATTATCAATCATCGTAATTAATAAATTATAAAATGTTCAGTTTTTATAGCTAAAGATTGCAAATTTAATAAAAAGATTCTCATAAATAGTTCATACTGTAGCCAAAAAATCTAAAAAAAAAAGAACACAGTTATTTTTTACAGACATTTTAAGTTCAAATTTGGGACGAAATTACATATTAAAAAACCTAGCATACCTATTTTCGTTATTTTGTTGTGAGTGTATAATACTATTCTTGGGTACTTTAGAAGTACCTTCTAAAGTACACTATATTATATATCTATGATAGTATCAGGGTTTGTTATTGATGTATAACGTGTTATAAGTACCCACGATTTAAGATATATCTTAAATCGTGTAAGTACCTAATGGATAATGTGATATGATTAATTTGGAATTTATTATAGGTCAATTTTTTTTTTTTAATACCATAGATATGTATATAATTGTCTTAA